TGATGATATGAGTAGGTTGAGTTTCCTTACTAGTGTTTTATTTTTAATACACTTCAGGAAAATAAGAAGATGACAAATGCTGAATATTTTCATAATGAAAACCTTAAAGCTCTTGTACTTGACTTATTTGGTGCTGGTACAGAAACGACTGCAAACACTCTGCGCTGGGCCATACTCCTAATGATGAAGTACCCGGACATTCAGAGTAAGCACCTTCATTTCACTGGCTTGTAATAAAAAATATAAACATAACTGAAAGAAGATTTTTGGTATCTGGAATGTTACTTGAATGAAGGGAAAAGAGATGAAGCAAGGATAAGTTGTCCTTCCAACAAACCCAGAATACATTGATCTCACTAAATGTAAATAGAATAAACAGATGATTTCAAAAAGAAGATAAAATATGTCAAACAAAGTCATCTTGGAAGAGCAAACAAACCAGGGAAACCTCTGACATATCACATCAGGAAACAGAAAGAAAGGATGAGAATAACAGCAAAAAAGAAAGAGAACAAACTGTTATATCCAAGATCAGAAACAACAGAAGAACTTGTAAAACTTTGAAGGAATTAAATTCCAGGCACAAAATAAATGAAGGAAATTTGAAAACATATAGTGAATGCTCAGGGCCTAAAGAATTTACTGAATAATATAGACAAATATTAAGCAAATCTATAGCAACTCAAGAGATTAAAGAAGCATTAAAGAAAATTAAAATCAGAAAGCGACAGTCCCAGATGACCTGACAGCCTTATATTTCAAAAAGCTAGAGGGGAACTAGCCAAACCACTTTTGAAGATGATGAATGAAATTCAAACAACAAAAACAATACCAAAGACATGGGATGAGGCATATCTAACATTACTACAAAAGAAGCAGGGGAAGGTATGGGGGGGTACGAGAATGTTGTTTTTTTTCTTTCCATTTTTTGTTTGTTTTAATGAATTAAAAGAAGATTTTTGGTAGATACAAGTATTGCTTGAAGAAGGGGAAAATAGGGGGTATTATCCTTGTTTATATTTTAAGGAAGTCATGGAAGTGAAAGGATGGAGAAAGAGATATAAAATATTTTTGCATTGAAGTGCACATATATACATTTCAGCCCCTTCATTTTATGCTCTCATCACCCCCACTGCTATTACTTAGAGGAACAGGAGATCACACCCTAGTATGAGCCACGACTGAAGAGACTTTCTATTAAGAATAATGTATTCCAACCATGATCAGGCCTTGACTCATCTCTATGTGCTCCACCCAACATTTCATCCTTTCTGGGACTTGAAAATGTAAACTGATAGTCAGTCCTTAGTCCAGCTCTTCTCTTGATGCAAATATTGATAAAAGAAGGGGGGGGGAAGCTAACATAAAAGATTGTAGCCTTTTGTTACTAGGTGTGCACCACAAATGTATTTGGCTTTACAGCTTTATCTTAAAACCTTGCAGATGCAGTCTTTCTTAATGAACTTAAACTTCCAAATCAGATTCTTATCACATTTAAGAATTGTCACTAACAATAATATTTTCTGTATCCTTATAGTATTTTCTTCAGAGATAAATCTTGTACTTCTCCGATGTACAGTCAAGGTCCTTCATATTATAGCACCAGTTCTCCAAAATACCAGAGATCTAAGTTAATGACTAATGTATCCTTCAGAATTTGGAAATTTTATATTAACTCTGACTTAAAACAAAATTGAAACAGAGCCATCTTAATACATAATATTGCTTTGGTCCCCCAGGGAAGGTCCAAGAAGAAATTGCAAAAGTGATTGGAGATCTCCAGCCAAGGACAGAACACCGAGCAAAAATGCCTTACACCGAGGCAGTAATTCATGAAGTTCAAAGGTTTGCTGACATTTTTCCAATGAACTTGCCACATGCAACCAGCATGGACATA